TATCTCACTTTCTGATTTCATTGTTTCCTTTCTTTTTTTCCCCTCCCAGTTGCCCTGGAAGAATGTTTAATTTTAGCACCGCATAATGACAGCTCTAAGAAATAGTCTCCCTTCCACCCCAACAGGCTTTGCGATGCAGTAACTCCAGGTATAAATAACAATTGGCACATCAGAGGATTGTCCAAAGATTAATAAGCCTGAGAGGGGAAAAAAAAATGACGTCTCGATTTCTGTCTGGAACAAAACCATCTTTTTCTGAAAGCTAAGGCTTGAGGCAAAATTTTGAATGTTGGTGAATTTGTTTGAAATAACCAGAGGTCTTCTGGGACGCAGCTCTGAATAATGGAAGGTCAAGCTTTTCGGCCGGATGGGGCTGCACGGGCCCCACCGTGTCTTGGCTGTGTCACCATGGTCACTTGACGTGCCCAAACCTCACAGACCTCAGTTTGAAATGGGCGTGAGGTGTCTCATCAGGATCAGGTGAGAATAAGGAGAACCATGTGGGCGAGCCTGGCGGGCCGGAAACACTCCGTCCATATTCATCCTTCAAAGCGCCTGACATCACTCTGTGTCGGAGGCTTTCGAAGCACAGAGATGAGAGAAAAGAGTCTGGCAGCCTTTCTTGTTTCTCTTTCCTTTTCAATTATGTCTTCGCGGAATGGGAGCGAGGGAGCCAGCCGCCCCCCTCCCCCCGGACCTCACAAAAGGCCGATGTCTGTGGGCTTGGGACGTCTGGAAAAGCCCATTAGGCTGACATGGGACGCCGCCAAGTTTTCATATGGTTTTCATATTATCAGGCTTGTGTTGACTCCTGTGAGCTTTCTCGCCACAATCCCTCTGTGACTCCGGGAGAAAGGAAGTGCAGGCCATCTGAAGTGTAGGTCGCACGCCCGGAGACAGCCAAGGGTACAAGGAAGGAGAAAGCCTCCCGGGTCAGTGCCCAGACTCCGTGAACAGGTCCCCTCGGTGCCCACCTCCTTCCCCTCCTTCCCAGGCTCCCAGCCTCTGGCACGCCCTGTCTTCCCAAGGATTCAGTCGTGTCTCCTGTCTGCTTCCTTCCCAGAGGAACACGGGCGGGGGAGCCTGGCAGGCGAACCAAAGCCATTAGCAGCGTCCAGGCCGGCTGACGTGGCTGTCCCTGGACTCTGCTGGGCAGATGTGGGCTGGTCCCTTCATCAGCTGCCCTTTGACAACGGCTCCCCAGGTCAGTTTCAATTCAGGCGATGGTCATCCAGAAATAAAGACGGGTCCTTCCTAAGCGCTGTGTAAATGTAGCCGGTCTGGACATAGCCTGTGAGCACTGTATGAAGTCCGCAATAATCATGACAATAATTAATGTTCAATTCCACAGAGATGTAGTGAGCCCCATATTTATTGAGCTCCAACTGCATACCTGGCACCGGACTAGTTCTGAACAAAATAAATAACAGCTAAGGTTTATCGTGTTGGCCCTGGAGCAAAGCACTTTTTATATGTTGCCTTAGTCTGTCCGCTCATTAGCCTCATGAGGTAGATATTGTTAGGAGTCCTATTCTTCAGATGAAGCAACTGAGGCTCAGGAAGATAAAGCAACTTGCCACAAATAACATCAGTAGAATGGAAGCCACAGGTAAGGTAGGTGGTGCATTTGGGCAACACATGAGCCCAGTCCCCTGACAGCTGTGGAGTGACCGTGACCATCCAGTGTAGACCACCTGAGGTTTCCACCTCAGACTTCTGTTATGCGTAGCCACATCTAACCATAGCTGCTGCTCTGTAACGTTCCTTCCAGCCCTGGAATCCTGACTATGAACACAATGCCCCACCTTCTAACCTTTACAGCCAGACACAGCTCTGCCCCATTCCTGGGCTTTCACCACCACCCAGACTCAGGACTCTCCCTGGCCCAGGCAATGAGAGGGATTCTCGGCACCGAAGAACGTGCCCTCGGCCTAAGAGGCCTGGCTCAACGTGATCTTGTGACCACTTCTTTCTAACTCCCGAGCCCTCACCTTGTTCTGGGACTAAGCCTCCATTTCCACCTCCATTTCCAGAACCACCCCTACACCTGGGGTCCTCCTCACCCAAGGCCCTGTCCTGACGCTCTTTCTGGCACTGGGGTCCATTCCCACAGAGCCAGGCTCCTGCGGGGAGTTGGCTACCGAGACAGGGAAGAAAGAAGAAAGGTTTTGAAGTTTGTCTACTTGGATAAAAGCTTCCACTTGGTGGCTTATATGGATCAGTTTGGTGGGAAATGGAAGATGGTGCCTTTGGGGTTTCAGGCCTTAGGTCTGGAAGTGGAGACTTCAGGAAATGTTAAGCCTTTGCCTGCATTTTCAACACCGGGCGCCATATTTTATCATACTCTGGTCGTGACGAACAACTGCACCCCCTTCTTCATTTGCCTCCCAAGCCCCACTCTGACCACCACTCTCCAGTTCTCCTGCTCCCTTCCTCCAGCAGCTCATCTCAAACTGAGGTCTTTGGCCGCTGGGGGTAGAAGACTCCATTAGGCAGTTTACTGCACCCACTTCACTCCTTTTCCAAATTCTACTTCCAGCTTGTATCCACGGTTCATGTTTAGAATCACTTCCTTAGAAAACCCCTCGACCCCTTTCCTTCTCTCTCTTTTCACTGTACTTTCTTGGCAAAAATGAACCCTCCTTAAATCCTATTCCATGTCTGTGTGCAGGCTGATGAAGAAAGTTGGAGAAAAGCACTCATCCACGGAGGCTCCTTTCCCTGTACATTCTTGATCACTAACGTCAGGTCAGCTCTGAGTCTGCTCAGGAATCCCCGTATGTGTGTAGGACCTCCACCAGCTGCCCCATGACTGAGTCATGCCTCCCCTCCCTCCTCCACTCCCCTTCCCTACTTCCCTATCCTCACGCTCAGGCCATGGTCTTGCTTCCCACCTTACTGTAAGAATGGAGCCATCGGAAGAGAACTCCATGTGCTCCCCCACCTGTGCCCTCCCCTCCCTGCTCTGCTGCCGGGGTGCTGACCTACCTCTGTTTAGGAGAGAGAGGCAATGTCAGCCATCACCTTGTGCTCATTTCAGTGGTTATGGTGGTTTTAATGGTAGCAGTAGAGGAGAGTGGTGGCAGAGAGGATGAAGGGACATGGAAGTGGTGGAGATCACAGAAGCTACAAAGCAATTGTAGGAAACGATCTTTGAAAATCTTTGAAAAACATTTTTTTTTTCAGGAAAGTTCCAGGTAGCTAGAGTGGGAGCAAAAGATTTTAGTCTATGCTGCAAAACAAGCCTTGGCGGGAGTATAGGGCAGCAGATGTGATGGGAAAGCTGTCCAGGGTGGTGACAGGAAGGTGGCCAGGGTCCCTCCAGACAGGCCACTCTGATGGCTCAGGTGGATAGATATTTCCAATGTCATTCCTGATTAAAACGGATTTGTGAACTCAGCCGAGGACCCCCTGGCCCCCGGGCCATATTTTACAGTGTGCCGCGTTGGGTCAAGGCCTCTGGAAATCTCCCTAAGTACTTCTCGTCCTTCCTTCTGTTGGACCCCATAGTCTCCAGGGCCCCCAAACAGCCCTGCTTCAGTGGTCTGAGAATCAGGGAACATCAGAGTCATGGGGAGACCTTAGAAATGTTCTAATCCAACAACTTCATTTTACAGAAGAGAAGGGTGAGGTACAGAGAAGTGACTGCCATGGGTGCTATGCAGTCAGCGCAACCAGAGCCATTGTCTCTTTACTCTCACATCTCTGTCATCCCGATTTGTCCCTGTGTTGTTTGCTCGATTCCTTCACTCTTCAGATTCATGAAACGAATGAATTAGTGAAACGAATGAATTCATGAAATGAAAACTCGAGGCTGTACCAGTTTGGATTGCTCTCGGCAGCGATCATTTAAAATGAAAGGACATTTCTTACTAGTTACTTATAGAAGTCTTGGGCGGAGATGAATGCTTTCATGCCTTGTTCACTGATCCAGAGCTAACAACAAAGAGCCAGCCTCCCCATTGCCACTGGGTGGACTTTGTGTCCTTGTGCTTGCTGCCTTCTGAGCGCCAGATGGTTGCCACAGCTCCAAGCATTTTGCCATCACACCAATGTCTCACGCAGAAAAGAATGGGGCAGGAGTGGGCAGGAAACAAAACTATATTTCTTTCATCCAGCTAGAAGGTGATTCCAAAATGCTTTCCATTATCTCTCATTGGCCACTCTTGGTGGCAAGGGAGTCTGGGAGAGTGAATATCTAGCAGAGGGAAATGGGACAGTTACAGTTGGCAACGATGAATCATGGTGCACACTTTTGGGCTGGGCACACTTCTCAGAACAAAACAGGATCTTGTTGGTTAGGAAGAAAGGACTGGGGGGGGGTAGGGGAGATGAATATGGTATCTAGGGACAACCTGTAATATTTGCCACCGAGATCATGGAGGATGGTGGAAGGAAGGTGAGCTTCCGGGTCAAAAAGACCTGGGTTCAGGGGTACCTGGGTGGCTCAGTTGGTTAAGCATCTGACTTTGACTCAGGTCACAGTCTTGAAGTTTGTGGGTTGGAGCCTCATGTCAGGCTCTGGGCTGACAGCTCAGAGCCTGGAGCCTTCTTCAGATTCTGTGTCTTCCTCTCTTTCTGCCCCTCCTCCACTCATGCTCTGTCTCCATCTCTCTCAAAAAATGAATAAACATTAAAAAAAAAAAAAAAGACCTGGGTTCAAATACAGCCCTATGATGGCTCACTCATTTTTCTAACTTAAAAATGAAAGTCATAGTGGCGCCTGGGTGGCTCAGTCCACTGAGTGTCAGACCTTTGCTTTCGGCTCAGGTCACTGATCTCACAGACTGTGAGATCAAGCCCCACTTTGGGCTCTGTGCTGATAGTGTGGAACCTGCTTAGGATTCTCTGTCTCCCTCTCTCTCTTTGTGACCCTCCCTCACATTCTCTCTCTCTTTCCTGCATGCACATGAGCCTTTTCTGTCTCTATAAACAAACAAACAAACAAACAAACAAACAAACAAATAAATAAATAAAACTTAATAAAAACAAAGCACAAGTAATATAAATAATGTATGTATTGTCTGACACGTAGTAGGGGCTCAGTAAATTGCAGCTATTGTTAACACTGCTAATAATCCATCTTGTAATTTCAAGGGTTCACATCCTCACCAGTCTTTGAGGTGGGGAGTCTGTAGTAATTCCTTAGACTAACCCTAAGATCGCAGGGGAAGCAGGCGGTAGAGGTGACACTTAGATCTGGAGATGCAAGATCTGCCCCCACAGAGTTTTGATTGTCCAGTGCCTGTGGGCCAGCCATTAGAAATGCCATCCATCTAATTCCATCTTCCCGTCTTTCAGAGACACACACCTACCTGCAAGGGAGAGAATCAGAAATGCTCCCTGAGGGCTCTACGGCAGCACGTCCTGGCCCGGGCAGACCCCATTCTATTTCAACATCAGGAGACAGGCCCCATAGAAGTCAAGACCCCGGAAGAGAATATTCATTTATGTATGGGGGAGGGCATAAGTTGGATATCTGCTCTGTTGCCTGCCTGGCCGTCCGTCTTACCATTTATGTCCGGGAGTGTTCAAACCCCCGGTGCAAGCAATTCAGAGGGGCTGACCCCACTCATGATGCTGCAGGGTTGGCATGTGGTCTAGACATGGACAATCAGCATTTTCTATCCTCTTGGACAAGACAATTGATTTGAGTTGGGCCTGTAACCTGAGCCAGGCCAAATCGAAAAGTTTTCAATTAGCAATAGTCACGCCTCGAATAAACCTCATTGGCTATGATACTGCCACTGTGCAAAGCTTGAGCCAGGCCAAATCGACCTGGTTCTGGAAGTGTTGCTGGAATTACTGGGAAAGAGGTCTTCTCTTCTGGCCGAGAGTCTCTAGCTGTGTGGCTGATGTCAGCCTGGGGCTTCCAGGGACAAACACGTGGCCAAAGCCAGCCTGGGAAGGCAGGCAGGCGGGCAAGGGAGGAGAAGCCGACAGGAGATCTTTGGACCCATGGATGTTGTTGGAGCCTATAAACCCAGCCATGCTTGAAACTGCCAAATGTACCTTTGGATTTTCCAGTTACACAAGCCCAGAAATTCCATTCTGATCCTTGAACCAGTTTGAATTAAGTTTCTGTCATTTTTTGTTTCTGACTAATTTGAAAAGAGAGATTCTTTTCCTCTCCTCCCTAGATAAAATGAAAACCACTCCAACCAGCTTTGTGGTTCCTCTGCTCCCTCGCCGAGACCAGTCCTGCTCTCATAGCTAACGGAGTCATGGATTATTCTGCAGCATCAAAGGCTGACACTGCGACTGACCCCATCTCCCACAATGACCCAAGTATCGAGGGATTTCAGCTTGAGTAAGAGACAGCTGTGAGCAGAGGCTCTCTGTGAAAACACTCAGGCTTTCTATTGCTTTGCTGGCTCAGACTCTCTATTCAATGACATCTCTTTTCATCGTTTTAAGCAATTAGACATCCGCTGTGATATTGCGGCCAGTTTACTACTATATAAGCCATCAATATGCCATTAATATCGACTTCCAGAAAGCGTCCCTGTGCTGTCCGGGTACCAGGCTTGCCGCCATTAACTCACATTCAGTAAATCATGCAGCCAATGAGAAGGCAGAGTTGAAGTTTTGCAGAAATTAGGGCCAAGGCAGCTCATAAATTTTTACTGACTTCACCTTTCTCAGGCAAGTAAGTGTTTAATGAGGTAGAGAGAAAGGTGTCATCACAGGTCTCAAATTATTCTCCACCAGCAGCCTTCCAGAGGGAGTAAAGCCATTTATCTATTCCACAGCATAGGCTTGGCAATCAAGCCATTTCCGATGTCTGGTCTACCTCCTGGGGGGCTGATCCTATTTGTACATACAACATGCTGACCTTTGGTCATGGAAGGAGGGCTACCCGGTTGGAGGGTCTGTAGGGGAGATTTTATGAATCTAGCATGTGTCTATAAATATGCTTCGATTTCCATCTATTTCTTCAAACCCTTCTGCCTTCAGCTTTCTTCACATCTATCCTAAGCGGGAGGACAAGAATGAGTAGCTCAAATAAGAGTGGGGCCGTCCTGCGGTCTGGCAGGATTTCCCCGGGGGCCTTGTGCATGTGTATCTTGCTCTTTTGTCTTTCTACGCCCTTCCAACCTCCGACCTTGGCTGGTTGGCTGGTTCCTATTCTTGGACTCACCCCAAAACCCATATTCATCTGCACCTACAGCAACGCCAGGCACATGGCTGGCAAGCAATCCAGCTGGCCGGGTGCACAGCTCCAAAGTCACCATTCATGTTTCCTCTACATGGTGCTCACGGGGTGCCATTTATATAGAAAACAACGTGAATGAGGTCCCCTGGAATTGGACAACTAGGCAACTGCACTTAATTTCTTTTGCTAATGAATAGACGGATGAATGAATGAAAGAAATCTCGGTTGGCCATACTTTGGCTTCCCTATTTGGACATCTATTGCCCTCCTTTTTACTAGCTTGCCTTTAAATTCTATTTATAAACAGTGGCTAAATGTTATCAGCCTCTGGATTAAATCTGTTGCCATATAAAACTGCTTTCCACGTAAGTAATTTCACTGCTTCTTTGAGCATCTGGACAAGTTCTGCTCAACCAGCCAATGCGTTAGGTTCCTGGCCCTCATCATCCTCCCTCTGCAGATTTGTGGCCACTCTTCACCCTCTCCCCCCCACCCCCCACCCCCCACAGCTTTCTTTTACTCCTGCTTGATACTGCAAGGACTTCTGACCCTGGGACATCAAGGCCCCTGGGTCTGTAGTGTTAGCTTCTTATTTCCGGTGCAATAACAAATGTCAGAAATGGACCATGATTCAAGTCGATCATTGCATTGTGGTCCATTTCTGACATTAGCCATGGCCACAATGTTTCTTTTCTTGATTCTTTTGGTCCCTCAAACCCTTTGGTTGTAGCAGGCTCTGGAGGGCCCCTGTCTTGCCAGTAGGGGCAGCTGGCTACTGTGAGAGAGGTTCACCACTGAGTTCGGGCCCTACCATATACCAAGTACCAACACCCAAGTATAAGCTCTCTGCTTTCTAGCTTCCAAATCCTTCCATAATCTGATGTCATTTTACTCTTCCCTCTGAGTTCCGACACCCCATCCCAACGTGAATTATTCCATTGGTGAAGCCTCCTCCACTCTCTCCATGAGGCCATGCTAATTCCTCCTTCAAATGCAATCCCTCATCCATCCCTTCTTCTCCTTCAAGGTCCACCTCAACTCCCAACTCTTCCAAAGAGCCTCCCATGGCCACTGCAGCCCTATTCATTTTCCTCTTTCTCGAGAACTTAAGTATAACTTGACATGATTAACATTTTTAAAAATATTTGATTCATTTTTTGAGAGAGAGACAGAGCATGAGTGGAGGAGGCGAAGAGAGAGAGGGAGACACAGAATCTAAAGCAGGCTCCAGGTTCTGAGCTGTCAGCGCAGAGCCCAGTGCGGGGTCTGACCTCAGGAACTATGAGATCATGACCTGAGCTGAAGTCGGATGCTTAACCGACTGAGCCACCCAGATGCCCTAAACTCGGCAAGGTTTTTTTATGCATCGTAATAAATCAACCTTTCTTTCCTCTGTAGATCTCGTCTTCCTAACTAGACTACCCATTACTTGGAGGCAGGGATCATGTCAATTAATTCAGTGACCTTCAGATGGCCTCACACACACGTGGCGATTGAGCCAATAAACTTGACTAACCCTACTTCATAGCTAAAGACTTAGTATCTCTAGAGTACCTTCTTTTTCTTTTAAGATTTGCAAAAGAACCAACTTTATTAACTTTTCAGCCATGTTGATAAGGACAATTGAAGGTAAGTAAGTTTGCCGGGGAAGCAGAACGAACTTCCTGCCTAAGACAGAAATAGAATCCTCTCCTCCAACCCCCCGCTGGAACCCGTTCTCCATACATAATGGTCACATGGGCAGAGCATACGAAGCAATCGGAGGTTTTGTGGATGATTAAATGCTCAAGTGGAGCTGTGGCATTTGTCAACAGCCACCAGTGTTCAGCAAATGTGCTGCTGGTCACTGCGCCGGGCTTATTGTGAAGCCTTATCCCTCCTCTGAATGGAGCTGCTGTTATGTAACAGAAAGACAGAAGGTGGAAAAGCAAAACAACGAGACACAGACTTTTTCTTTTAATAGCACTTTGCAACTTTGCCGAGTACCTTGGCGGTATTGAACTCCACTTCACAGACTCAATTCTGAACGATTTCTTTTTCTGACCTTGAGACCTCTGGGCAAAATAAAGAGCTGATTGCATTGAATGCTTAAGTTAAATTCAAAGATCAGTACTCTTTTCTCCTCCCCTACTAGGAATAAGCTGAAATTCTTGGTTTTGGCATTGCTTTTCCAGGTAACTAGTCCTATGCTCTGACCCCAAATCCATGTAGGTGACCTCCTGGTGGAATCACGGTCCCCTAGCTGTGATCCACACAGCTCTGGGCGGAGATGCTCTTGCCCTGATAGGTTGGATGTGAAGTCACTTTTAACAACTGCAGCCTCTACCCAGCTCTCCCCGCTCCACGCACAGCTGGGGACTCCGGTGCCCTCCTCATCCTTACATTTCACACATTCCATTCCAAGTACAAACCTCCTCCACCTGCAAGCTGCACGAAAGATGAAAAGGTGAGATAAAGGCGGAGGGACTTTATCCCAGCGCAAGCTGGGACTTTGCGCAGGGTAACTAGACGGTAGCCCCTTTGGAGAAGTGGGCATCAGGGTGTGAGCTGTGGCGCCCTGGAACCAGACTGTCTAGGTTCAGATGTTGCGATTCCCACTTCCCACCTGTGTCATCTTGAGCAAACTGCGTATCTTTCTTGGGTCTGAGTCCCACATCTGTGAGCAGGCAGGACAACAGTATTGGGCTTGTCTTGTAGGTTTGTGGTAACGATGAAATGAGTCAGTATGTGCGGAGCACTTGAAACAGCGCCTGGGACACCGTATGTGCATAATCAGCCTTACTTCTCCTTGTAGGGGAAGGCACGCAAGTCTCCCAAGAGGCACATGAGATAGCGGACCGTAGCAAATCGCACCTGCCCGTACTTACACAGAGTCTCCTCGGTTCATTTATTTTATTCAATAACTACTTATTGACCTAGTATATGCCAGGCACTTGCTAGATGCAGAGAAGACGGGGGTGGGAAAAAATAATCACAGTACCTGCCCTTGTGAGCTTACAGTCCAGCCTGTTTGTCGCTTCACAGACTTAGTGTGCAGGGCACAGCCACTGGTCCCATGGCGTGCAGCACAGTGGCTGGCCCTTGAGAAGCTTCAGGAATTATTTCCCAGAGCTCTCCCTGTAGGCGGGCTCCTCATGGCCACCCTTGACTCACTCTCCACTTGGATTCCAGAATCAGGCACTCACCAAAATCCTGATAAAGTCACCCCCTTGGTTCCTCAAGACACCAACCCCTTTCTCTGTTTCTACTTCCCCGAAGAGCGTGTTGGTGCCTCAAGCACACACTGTATTCCTGTTCTGTCATTTCAGCTCGTGCTGTGGTTCTCCAGGGCATGCTCAGTGCGTGCGCTCCCCCCAAGCCTTCCCCACTCCCACTCTGCACTTCCCAGTCCTGCCTCCCATCCTGGGTCCCTGACCTAAGTCCATTCCCCTGATATGTGAGCTGGCCATCGGCAGCCCTTTGTCCACTGTCACGTCGACATCACCTCGGACCGCAAGCCCATCCTCTTTGTCCGTCTCCTGCCATCAGCGGAAGGAGTGAGCCAAGACTGAGCCACTGCCTGGAGCGGCCGGACATCCTGTCTCACCTCTGTGTTCTCGTCCCCATCCCTCCAGTCCTGGCCCCCTAGGCCTCCCCGGCCACACCTCCAGCTTCCTCAGACCCCTTTATTGCCGCCTTTCTCGTAGCATATGAAATGCACAGATTCGTTCATTCATTCATTCACAAGCACCCATGAAGCGCTACGCTGGGCCCTGTACTAAGCACTCTTCTAGGTTCTGTAGATAGAGCAGAGGAGAAAACAAGATCCCGACTGTCATGGAGCTTGCGCTCTAGTGCGGAGAGTTGGACAATAAACGGACAAATAATGGAGCCTGTCAAATGGTGAGGAGTGTAATGCGCTTGGAGCACACATCCAAGTGCACTGGGCCTGGAGGCGAACTGAAGGGGAAGGATGGAGGGAACGGGCACGGCAGCCTGTGCTAAGGAAGGGGCCTCCTCAGGGTCCCCGTGTCATCCTGGTGAGGGAGAAGCCCCCTGAGCCTGCAGCTGCACAGGGCGGCAGTCTGGACATCATTCTCCGCCCTGTTCCTGGGCCTGGTGCGCGCTGTGAGCGCAGGGAGCCTCCTTAAGACCCACGGTGGGGCCTGTTGACAATGCAGTGCACTCGTCCTTCCAAAATAAATCGTTCCCTCTCTTGCCTGCAGACAGGGAGCAGTGGAATGCCCTCCCTGGCTCTTGGCTCTCCTGTGTGTTTTGGCAAAGGAGCACAAGAAAGGCTTCAGCGCGCTCTTTCCAGCCTATCTCCTCATCTGGGCCCAGGTAAAGAAGAATTCGGGAGAGGAGTTGACAGAGTTATAAATACGCCACTTCCCATAACTGCTTAAGGGACAAACCAGCTGGAGCAATAACTCTTCGCTTCATTCTCATCCAGAAGGTAGCAAAGCTGTATAATTCACAGGGCATTTTCATATGCCTGATCTCGCTGGATAGTTAACATAGCGTATGTCACAACATCTGTTCTATTTCATTTACCACTGAGCTAAATATATTTTCCAGTTAGCATGGGGGCACACATTCTGTGCAACAAAAAAAAAAAAAAAAGAAGAAGAAGAAAGGAACATTTTTGTTGTTGTTTGGTATTCGAGCCCATGACAAAATCTCTCAAGCTACACTGGAGTTTTCCTATCTTGAAAAACTTAAGGACCTGGATTGGAAAGCTTTACATTCCAAATGAATCATTAATGGGCTTCACATAACGTCCCCAGCAGAAATGCTCCGGCATACCAATCTTTGGTTCCTCATGCTTGGGATGTAGAATTCCTGTATGAGCTCCATTCTGCTGTGGGCAACTTCTATTTTGGGGCGAGGTTGTTTCTATATATAGAGACCTTGTCAAATGGAGTGAGTGCATGAGTCATTTGTGCATATCCTAAAAGCCATCCCATCAACTTTTTCTCCTCTGCCAGTCTTTTCTTTTTTAATTGGAAGGAAGGATCTTGATGAAACTCCTCCATTTTCATAGACTACAGTTAGAATGGTAATGCGCTTCGGTGGGGACTGAGTTTCATAGTCCTTTAAGAAATGATCACAACCCCATTTGCATCTTCACTGACCAAGTAACTTCTGTATCTCTGCGAACTTGGGGCTCCACCTCCGTAATTCACACCATGGCCTGGGATGCTTTAGATGCTCCTGAATGGCCTGACCCAGTGGTGCTAAGTAGGGCTTAGAAAGTATCTGATGGGTACTGTAATTCTGAGAGCTGGATTAAAGCAATGAGAATCAGTGGGTTTGGCCCCAAACAAGACTTCATTCCTCTTCATTCCACTGGCCAGTGGCACTTTGAGGAATGGAGGGAAGGGAAGCTTGGTCTTTCCTCATAACACAGGTGGATAGTTAGGAAGAGTTGTGATTTCCTCTTAGTTTTACACAGTCCGCTGAGGAGCTGAGGCAGCGGGGAGAGGCTTTGTCCTCTATGCATAGACCAATAAGGATGGCTAGGAAGTCCTTTTGTGACCTTTAAGGCACCCTGAGGGGAAGTTCGAGGGCAAATACTAGGTGTGTCCAATCTACTTAGGAATCTGAAACCCAAGATTCTGTCCAACAATTGGCTCAATTGTCTGAATCTTTCTGAACCTTTCTGCTTGGGCATATTTCCTCATCGTAGTATCTTGTTGAATGTCCCAAGGGCACTCATTCCTGGGGAACCAAGGCTGAAACTTCTCTCAGTTTCTTTGTTTTCTGCACAGAGGATGAGTGAGAACGGGAAGGGGCAGAGGGGCGTGCTCGTAGGCATGAAAAGAAGAAGGAAATTACCTCCAAGAACATTGGCACTATCAGGTTTCATTTAACTAAAGGGACTCCTAACAATGGCTACATTAATAATGCAGTAATGTCAGTTTCCTGATGTTCCTTGTTCTTTGGGAAAATGGGCACCGTGAACTTCTTACTCTTCAGTGAAAACTCAGTGGAAATTCACTAGCTCTTCCAAGTAATGTTTAAAACTTGAATTTATTCTGAGTTATGGTCATCAGATCTCTTATCAAATTCATCGTCTAGATTCCCAGGTAAATGACTTGGGTTGTTAAGTGAAAGGAGAAGAAAATATCAGACTTTGCCTTGATGAAAAAGGATTATTTTCACTTTTTCTTTTACTTTCAGTTTATATATTGCATTGAAAAAAAGAAAGAGGTGGAGGAAACCTTCCAGAATAAGAAAGATAACATCTGCTAGAGTAGCAAGGGGATATAACTGTAGAACCCGAGTCCCTCTCCCCCTCCCCACCCCCCCAGTGTGGAAAGGGGGAAATGTGGGCCATTTGCTACCATGGAAACCAAGCAAGTATGTGGGAGGGGGAGGGAGGGCCCTTTCCAGGAACCTAAAGATCTTACTTTTTTCAAAGTTAAAGTGTTCTAGTCGATAGGTGATCTTTGTGATGGCAAGAGGGGTGTGTGTGCGTGTGTGTGTGTGTGTGTGTACTCTTTTTATTTAATTGAGTTCCAACTTGCCTTCCCTCCCACTTTGTCTTTTGAACCTAGTGATTCTGTCTTTCAGTACAGCTTCAACTAAAGGGAAAGTTGACAATTAAAAAAAAAAAACCCACCGAACACCCACTGTGTACCAGGCAGAGCTCTGTGTAGCGGAGACATCTAACACACACTGCATAGAGCCATTGGGTGAAACCTTATATTATGCAGCTAGTTATATCTATTTCTATTTTCATACTCAGAGATCTCTTAGAACACAAACAGCTTAAAGTTTGTTCCCTCCCCCTTGCATCCAGGTCTTTTTAAGTTTTAAAACTGAATGTTAAAATCACTAGTCATCCTCAACACAGATGCGGGAGACATGCCTCCTGTGTTTGCGGTTCCTGCACAATTCCATGTCACAGGCAACTACCCCTCCGTTCCCCTTACCAATGCATTCGTCCTTTCCAAAGGAAAATGACTAAGGAGCAATAGATCAGGTGTTTGGAAGGCTCTCGAGTGGTGAGTCAACATCGGTCTCCAAGGTAGGAAGCTGCAGGAGAAAAGATACAAAATCAGCATAAATGTGGGGAGTCCCCCATCACTGGAAGTATTCTTGAGTAGGTTGGACAATTTCTTAGGAGGAATATCGTAAAAAGGGGTTGGACTAAATATTAGATGCACAGCAAAATTGAGCAGAAGGTACAGGTTTCCCATTTGGAGCCCCTGCCCGCACATACGCATGGCCCCCTCACTCTCAACGTCCCCCATCAGAGTGGTACTTTGTTTCGACCCATGAACCTGTATTGATTGACACGTCACTATCACCCAAAGCCCAAAGTTTATATTAGGGTTCACTCTTGGTGTTGTATATTCTAGGGGTTTGGACAAACGCATGGTGACACGTATCCACTGTCACACAGAGTAGTTTCACTGCCTTAAAAGTCATCTGTTGGTTCTTCCATCCCTGCTCCCCCCTGCAACCATCGATCTTTTTACCTTCTTAGGTTTGCCTTTTCCGCAATGTCACAGAGTCAGAATAAATAGTACGTAGTCTTTTCAGATCGGCTTCTTTCACTTGATAGTATGCATTTAAGTTTCCTTCATGTCTTTTTGTGTTGTGATAGCTCTTTTTTTTTTTTGGTGCTGACTGTTCCATTGTCTGGATGTACTAATATCCTTTTCAGTTGTGTGTTTGTTTCTGCAGTTTGCAGCCTAGCACTGAGAGGGTGTCCACAAAGATGTAATAAAAGTCAGGGGCGGCTCGATAGCCATGACCTTCAGTGATGGAGGAATGGCTGAGCTTCAGGTTCTGAAGGAGGGATGTTGCCGATGCTAGAGGTCAATCTCAAGGAGGCCTTGGCAGAGACCAGGACTCCACCCAAACAGGATGCGCGAGGGCTTGTTCCGCACAAGTGACGGAGATCTAACTCAAAGCAGCTTAATTTCGAAAGTGACCGTGTTGACTCTTGTGACTGGGAATTTCAAGGGGTAATTCTGGATTTTGGGGTCTGACTTAATACAGGGCTATAAAGGTGCCATCAGTGTGCTTCCCCGGCCCCCCTTGCTTTCTTCTGGGTTGGCACTGCTCTGAAGCAGACTTCCCCACAAGGCTGCTGTGATGGCCTCTTGGAGCTCCGGGCTCACTTTCCACCAGCTGATTAACACCGGATGCAAAGGAAGCATCCTTTACCAACAAAACTCTCAAGGAGGAATTTCACTGGCCCAGCCCCGAGTAAATCCCTGGGGTTTATTGGTATCCACTTCCGGAATTAGGGGCCGGTATCCCCGCCCACTGCCACGTGAAAGTGGGTAGGGGATATAGCAAAGGGAATACTGGGGTGCTCTTACTAAAGAATGGAAAAGGATTCTGTGCAAGTGAGATCAATGGACTTTCTGTGGTGGACTGTGGAAAAACAGTTTAAAAAAGCAGAGATGGGTGTCGATACATAGAAGGCAGGAAAACAGTGGTTTCAAAGCAGTCAGCTGAAAACTTCATTATACTCTTTTATAACTGAAAATTAAATGTCTGGGGGGAGGCAGATCCCTCTTTTTCCAGGCCTGCAAGTGCTTTGGGCTGCTGGGGTAGGAGAGAGGGAATGCTGGGCTCACAGCGGCACTTCTGTCCATTTCGCGTGTGCCGCGGAGACCGGGAAGCTAAACACATCTCCCAGACTGCCTTGCATCTCGGGTAACGGATCCAAATTAATTTCATTAGCTAGATGCTCTCAGATACGATTTGCAAGGCGGAAGCGGGGAGGACACCATCTCTCTGTGGCTCCGTTGCTTTCTGCTGTCAGGCTCCACTGTGGAGACTCTGGGCTTTTCTGCCACGTCCAGTCACTAGCTTTGTGGGTTTTGAGAAACAGCAGAGTTGGAAGAGGTAGAGCTCCCTGGGTGGGCCGGTCCCGCAGCTCTGGGAGTCATTTCTGCAGGCTCGGCCTACCGGCTGGGACTCGACGCCTTCTGGCAACATCAAATGCAGGTAACTGCCCACATTAATTTTTCTATATAAATTGCTAAAGAGGCATCTGTTTATTGGGTCTGAACAGGTGGAGTTGACAAAAGTCTAAAACAAAGGTCTGGATGGATGCTCAGGGAGTCTGACGTGGGAGCAGCCCTTGCTGACGTGGGCAGAGGAGAAGGTCATTTGACTTCCGTGGGGTGCGATCCCGCGCAGGAAGGGAGGACCATGCACAACTCCTGGGGCTTATTTTGTCAATAATTGTGCCCGTCTTGGGAAAGCAGGAGGATGCTTCACTCTGACCCTCAGGATTCTCTCAAGGTAAGGCACCTACTGTCTACTGGCAAATGCTGTTTCCCCCCAGAGTAGCCCACATCAGTCCACACTCCCCACCTCTGAGGTCTCTTTCATACTCGCTCAAACAGGTGCCTACGGGCATGTGTACACACGAGTACCTGTACACAACACGCAACATTTTCAACCACTCGAAAGTTTTCACATTCTTGACTCCCACATCCAGGTTTTTTGATCCATCATGTAATCCCGTGGCTCCTGAATTGTCCCTATCGAAGCACTTTCTCACCCTGTATTGAAATTGCTCATTCATTTCTCTGTCACTCATGCTAAATGTCACTGCAGTGACGGCAAAGAGCGTGTCTGTCCCGTTTCCCAGTGTAGACCCAGGATAAAATCATTGTGCCTGCTATGCTCATGTCCCAGACATTTAGTATTGAATTTATAGTCTGCTGTTCTAAGGGCTTCCAGAAACTGGATTGTCTCGGAAGCCCAAAGACGGCCTAGCAGATCAAAGATCAGCTTGAAAGATCAAAGGAGGTGATACAAACTCCAAGTGCCGGGGCAAAACCGGGACTTTGCAAAATATTTCTTTTCCTCCCTGGGTCTCTCATGTTCCTCAACCCTCATCCTCATCTCTTTTAGCTCAACCCCCTCTTGTCCCCCGCCGCCCCCCAAACAAACCACTTTGCAGCATTGTAGTATCACAGGAGGCCATCTCATTGTGAACACCCTGGCTATTTTCTATGTTATTCATCCTTCTCGACTTTGGCCCTGTCCCTTGTACGATATGTGGTCTTGGAGGAATTTTTAACCTAAGACTCTGTTTTCTCATTTGTAAGTGTGAGGCATTACAGACGGCGGCAAATTGCTTCACACTATTCCCATCTAAGGGTGGGATCTGTGTCCCTGCACCTTGACTGTTAATCTGGGCGGGCTCTGTGATTCCTTGACCAATGGAATATAGCAGAAGTGATGCTGTGCCCATTTACATGCATAGCTCTTAAGAGACTGGCAGCTTCCTGGGGCGCCAGAATGGCTCAGTCGGTTAAGTATCTGACTTCGGCTCTGGTCATGATGTCCCGGTTCATGAGTTTGAGCCCTACGTCAGGTTCCGTGCTGACAGCTTGGAGCCTGGAGCCTGTTTCAGATTCTAGGTCTCCCTCTCTCTCTGCTCCTCCCTTGCTTGCACTCTGTCTCTGTCTCTCAAAGATAAACATTGAAAAAAAAAAAAAGAGATTGGCAGCTTCTGCTTCCTGTCTTAGGATACTAAGGGAAGCTACCCGCCATGCTGTACGGGAGCCCGAGCTAACCACAGAGAGAGGTCGGATGGTGAGAGAGACGCCAGCTAGTGTCAGCTCTCCCAGTCATTCCAGCTGAAGTGCAGACATGTGGATGAAGAAGCCATCTTGGACATCCAGCCCAGATGAGCCTGCAGGTGACTTCAGCCAAAGCTGCCATCCAACTACAACATGGACCCAAGCGAGGACCACCCAGCAGGACACAGGCAGCCCACAGGACCGTGAGCCACTAAGGTCTGGTGTGGTTTCCTAAGCAGCAAAACATAACTGCAAGTGCAAGTAATGATCAAATCTACCTCCTGGGACTGCTGTGAGGGTAAAGTGAGATTCGCGTACGCTGAATCCCTAGTCGGGAAGAAAACACGCTTTCAGGATATATCAATTCCCCTGCCCCTCCCCCTTCCTTTTTATTAGTTCTACAAATTTCCAAGAAGGGGTAACTCAGTGTTAGCATCGGAAGCAGGCAGGGTGGAGGTGTGTGATTTGCTAGGTGTTTTTTTGTTTTTTTTTTTTGAATTTGAAGAGCTCCCTTTTCTTTTTCCAACTTTCTCTTGTGTCTTTCTTTTCTGTGTTCTTTAAAGCACAGCCAGATCATTTAGACCTAAAATAAGAATACCAAATCCAGCCTTTGCGTGTGTGATTTTTCAGACAGAAAAATCATAGGTTTGGTCCCAGCTCGTGGTCATGAAAATCAAGCTCCAGAAGCGAAAATGATTCAAAGTAAAATTCCTCTGACAATTTTTGTCATGTCTGTGTATGAGTGTGCGTGTGTGTGTGAAAAGCAGCTAAAAACTTTAGACTACACAATTTAACTATGTAAGCATCACAGAATTACAGGCTTCTTTGGGGGAGGAGTTAAAAAGTACATGATTACCTGTAATTATAGTCTTGCTAAGTTTGATTTGATAGAAAACAAAATTCAAGCCTGATTTAAACCACGCAGAAAGACCTGGTGCATATTGGAAATCCTCTTTTTCCTTCTAACTCAAATGGCAAATTTATTTCATTCTTGTGATCTTCCTGGAAGTCAACCTTTTATTATGTTTATTGCGAAGGTTGTGTGTCTTGCTAATTATGTTTCCCCTCTTCGACTTACTACCATGCAGTTTTAGATTACCCTTCCATCCCCTCTGAATTCCCACAAATACCTAAACTGAAAGACAAGAGGGTTCATCTCAGAGTCTGCGCTGGGTCAGCTTAATAAACTCTGTCAAATACTTGGTCAGTTAAGTTCAGGGCATCAGGGGTGATCAAACCAGATGCGGGACACGTACAGATTAGGGAATTGGTTTATTTCATTTTTTGTATTTCTACCTTTAATGTAGGAGTGGCCACAAAGCCACACTGTTGGCTGCCATTAGCCACCAGGATAAAAAGCTTCTGGAACACCTTGGGGCCTACGGGGTTAGAAGGGTGGGGAGGAGAGCGGTTAGGAGGGGGAGAGGGAGTTGGCCAGCCCGAGTGTCCGGTGACATTCTGCAGTCAGTTCCAGCTACAGAATGTTGCCTGGACGGGGCCTGCCACTGAAGACATTCCCTAAAGAGAACGTAAGGAAGGGGCTTGACCTTGGGATTTAATGAGCGCAAGCCCACGGCTCCCCTGGCATTAAGTCCGTTAACCGTCAAGTCTTGCCTTTCCTGATAACCAGAAACTAAGAGCTGCGGCACTCGGTCCTGTCTCCCGGCCCTCGGTGTCCAGAGACAGCTGGGGTTACTGTTTTCTTTCCATTTCACAGCTCTCTGAGGAGGTGTGACTGTGTGTGAAGCGCTAGAAAGCTTGTGCTATAATTACCTTGTGATTTGCCTCTGAGTGCGCAGCACAGCACAGCTACCCGCCCGGCTGTGTTCACGTGACCTAGTCAGAGGTTGAGGGATCTGCTGCCCTGCGCGCTGGAGTCGGACAACGTGGTTCTAGAACAAAATGGGTGCTGACATTACTTTGTCCCAAAGTTAAAGGTCACATCTCAGGAGAGTGGATATGGGGTCTCTGTCACTAACTGCCATCATAGCCAAATCTACGATTGGGGCGCACTCAAGTCAGTGCAACTACGCCCCAAATTTAAGAGACTGCACGGATCCAGGCAGCCGGACCGCGTGTTTCCGACCCCAAGCGCTCACACCCCCGAGGCCCTGACCTGCAGATTTCCCGAGCGTGGGCGCACGGGATGGGGATCCAGGGGGGGGGCCCTACCCAGGATCGGCTCCTGGAGGGCCCTGCTCGCCGCCGCCGCCCCTGCAGCCCCCCCAGCGCCGGCCCGAGGCCGAGCTCCGCCCGCTTCCCGGAACCCGAGGCACCCCCAACCACGCAGCCACAGCAGCGGCCGCGTGCCCGCGCAGCGGGACTCGCGTCGGCAGCCGGCGCTGCCTTCCTCGGCGTCCGCCATTGGCTGCGCCTTCGGCTCGCGCCCACACGTTGCCCAGTCTCGGGTCCGCAGCCCCACTTTCCCCACGCCTCACGGGGCCCCACACTGGCTCCCGGCGCCCCGAGGGGCGCGAGGCGCGCGGAGCGGCGCCGGGGGCGGAGCCTCGCGCGGGGCGCCCCGGGATTGGCCGCGGGGGCAGGGGGCGGGGCGGGCCCTGGAGAAAACAGCGCGCGCGCAGCGCGGAGGCAGTCCCAGTCCCGATCTGGAGCTGGCCGCGGTGGCTCCGGCGGCGGCGCTCTGGTGCCTTTATCCCGCGGACCCCTCGGGCAGGGTCCTCCCACCGGCTCCAGCGCGGCACACGCGTCCTCCCGCCCCACAGGTCCCGCACGGTGCAGCCCCGGCTGGAGCGGCGATGCGCCTCATTCAGAACATGTGCACCATCGCCGAGTATCCCGCCACGGGCAGCGCCGCCGCCGCCGCCGCCGACTGCTGCCTGGGGGCGGCGGGCCGCCGCCTGGTCAAGATCGCGGTGGTGGGCGCCAGTGGCGTGGGCAAGACCGGTGAGTCTTCGCGCTCGGGCGAGAACCCGCTCGTCCCTGGGGCTGGACGTGTGAGCGAGGCGTGGGGGAGAGGTGGGACCTGCAGCTGACCCCCCCGTCCCCTCCTGATCCGCTGCTCCTCCGGAAGGACCTGAACCAGCATCGCCTCCAACCCTCTTGTTGGACAGATGAGGGAAACTGAGATCCAGAATGGCCAGGCCACCTTCCGGGCACCGCCGGCGCATCTGGGATTAGAACTTTGGGGTTCTTGAGCCTCTGGCAGTGGCTGGAACCGAAAAGGAACTTAGGGAGCCGAACCCCTCCCGGAGGTCTTTAAGGTTGGGGAAGACATTCGTCTCCTGGAAGGCTTAGGTGTGGCTCAGGCGGCCCAGAGCGGGCGGGTGGGCCAAATGACCCTTCCAGCTGGACAGAGCCGTAATTCATGATGCCTTCTAGCCCCTCTACGTTGTGTCTGCAAAAAGGGTCAAGGAGCTGCAGGGTAGGAATTTCACTTGGTGGCCGGCCACCCGGCCTTTTTTCTCTGGGAGAGCTGTTTCCTGGGCTGGGGGTGGGGTGGAGACCAATTTAACTGCTGATGCCAGAGTGAACTCGATCTCTCCTTTTTCTCTTCTGCCCGGCAGCTCTGGTGGTCCGCTTCCTCACCAAACGATTCATTGGGGACTACGAAAGGAACGCAGGTGAGCAGATGCAAAATTTGGGGAGCGCCTTCTCAGCTTGCACAGTGCTGCAGGGTGCCTTCTCAGCTTGCACAGTGCTGCAGGGTCCCTCAGGCAGGCTCCTTCACAGTGACAGTCTGGGCGTCAGGATCCTGCCACTTCCAGTTTTGCTTGCCCCCTCCCATGCGCCCCCCCTCCCATCACTGCCATCTGGCCTCATTCCATTCCAAAACCATTCATCATTTTATCAAGTGCCTGAAAGTATTCTCCTTGGTATGTTTTAACTATAGGGACCCCAGTTGGAAGCACCCTTTGTACTCAAGAGCCTCTCCCTTCAAAACACTCCTGCAAAAGTCATAAAAAAAAAAAAAAGATGGCCAACTCCTCCCCCACCCCCTCCCTCTCTGTTGGCTGCCTTTCAGAGGTGACCTTTTAAAGCAAAGGCCAAAGGAAAGCAGTTGTAAACCTAAAGTTCTCTTTTCTTAACGAAGAAAAAAATAACTGGATGGTAGAATTTGAGGAGGAAAGCTCCCAAATAAACGAGAAGACGGTATTTCAATCTCTCTGATTAAGGATGGCCACTGGGGAGGCTTAAGGGCTTTCTACCTGTGCTCTGCTAGCAAATTGCTTAAATCCTTAGACCATATTTAGTACCTAAGGGGATTATTCGAACTGTGCTGTATCAACCATCCCAAGATAAGGCATTGCAGCTTTCTGCTTTGATGTAGATTTCGCTACCATCGTGTCACGTTTTTATTCCAACTGATAATGGTGGCTGTGCATTTGGGAACAGTATTTGCCTACCAAGCTGTTGCACCTAATGATTAAATTTACATCCAAGAGTAATAAAGTACTAAAATTAAAACGAACGCCATGAATGCCGAACAAGAACATTTACTTCAAGGAAATGCTCTAAATATAGAAACTCCATTTAAGATTCGACAAATCAGTTTCCAAAATTCTGTAAACCTTGCCTTGGATTTAATAAAGCCACTAATCTGGGGTTAACATTGCAGTTGTTTAAAAGAAATGAGCTCATTAAATAGAATAAACTATAGTTTATTTTTGTGCACTGGTTCAGGTTATATTATCTTTTCTCTTTAAACAATCCCACGATGTTTTAAAAGTTACACAAGAAGGAAAATCTTTTTTTTTTTTTTTTTTTTTTTTTTTTGGCCTTTACAGGTAATCTCTATACCAGACAAGTCCAAATAGAAGGTGAAACCCTGGCTATTCAGGTTCAAGACACACCAGGTATTCAGGTAAGGAGCTCTGTGGTTCGAGATGAAGTCAGGCTTTGGAATCGGTCAGCTCTCAGGATGTCTTATGCTAAAGAGGAGAGAAATTTCGGGGAGTCACATCTAGGCTTTTACATGTTGCTTGTCACTTCCGTTGTATTTGGCCATTGATCAGTCTCTGCCTGGCTTAATTTGGGAGATTTGGCCAAGGGGCAGAGGTCTTCTCTTGGGAGGATTCCATCTGGGAGGAAAGACCAAACTAGACACGCTCAGAATGGGCAAAGTTTCCCCGCTGTGGTCAAAAAGAGAGGTTTTTACATGTGTGCGTTTGGCATTAAAAGTCCAACATCTAGGTGAAGTCCACAAATGCTTGGGATCACTTTTACATCGTGGAAAGTTACTCTATAGACAAAAGAGCCGTGCTGGTGTATGTGGGTGTGTTTTTTTTCCCTCTTGAACTGGGCAGTTCTCCAGGTTTAAATGCTTCCAGCTCCTATCTTTACTTCCCCAGACTTACTGTCTAGCCAGTTAATTTCCCATTTTGTGCAACTACAAAGTCTCCCTGCATGGAGTTCTCTGCAGGTCAATTTTCCACTTGAGTGTGGCGAGCTGCACTGTTATTTATTCCAATCGTGTGTGCAGCTGGGTCAACATATCGTCCAGAAAGCTGAAGTGTGCACGGATATAACTTGTTTATGGCCCGCAACCTGGCGTTACGTCAAGGGCTCTTTGGAATCTGCTGTCCAGCCACGCCGGGGCCTCTCTGCGGCACTCACCGTTGACCTTGCCGTTGTCCCTCTCTTCCAGGTCCACGAGAACGGCCTGCGCTGCAGCGAGCAGCTGAATCGGTGCATCCGCTGGGCCGACGCCGTGGTGATGGTGTTCTCCATCACCGACCACAAGAGCTACGAACTCATCGGCCAGCTCCACCAGCACGTGCAGCAGCTGCACCTGGGCGTGCGGCTGCCCATGGTGGTCGTGGCCAACAAAGCCGACCTGCTGCACATCAAGCAGGTGGACCCCCAGCTCGGACTGCAGCTGGCCAGCGTGCTGGGCTGCTCGTTCTACGAAGTGTCGGTCAGCGAAAATTACAACGATGTCTACAGCGCCTTCCACGTCCTGTGCAAGGAAGTGAGCCACAAACAGCAGCCCAGCAGCACACCGGAGAAGCGGAGGACCTCCCTCATTCCCAGGCCCAAGTCCCCCAACATGCAGGACTTGAAGAGGAGATTCAAGCAAGCCCTCTCTGCCAAAGTGAGGACTGTCACCTCCGTCTGACGCAGGGACTCTCGGGGGGGTCCGGTCTTCCCAGGAAGAGGGTCGGCGGTTCTTCCAGCGCAGGAATGCTGGGTGCTGGCAGCCAGTCATGGTTCTAGAAGGAGCCGGAGCGGAGGGGCCGGGAGGGGTCTGTGGGACTGCCACCGACACGGAAGCATTCTGAGCCGGGGACAGAACGCACGAGGCTTGAACGAGCCCACTGAGCCACTCCGAGCATGTGAAACGCGCTCTGTGTCTTTTCCTCTGGAGTGGGGAGGGCGGCATTGGATTTTGTTCTTGACCTTGTAAGTGACGGTCAGCTGTAGTTTCCGCAACTGTAATGTGGTTGACGGTGGGAATGAGAGAACAGCTGCAGCACTCCCAGCCTTTCCAGGTTTTCTCTTCTTTCTTTTCTCCCTTTTCTCCCCCACTCCCACCCCCCCAAGAGGAAGGACTGCTTTTTCTCTTGCAAGTCTGATTTGCATCTCTGGAACCCTGTTCCTTACAGAATGCCTTTCTAAGCTGAAGGGCACCCACAATTTCTTCTTAAAAGAACAAGGAGGGAAATACTACTCCCACCCCCCAAAAGGGGGAGGGGTTTATGGGCCAGATGTTATGTATATGGACGGACATCCGGGAGCTTCTACATCTGGCAGGAAGGGCTGCTTCCTCCTGACACAGAAGGAGTACGTTTAGTTGAGCAGGTGTTAAATGGTCAAGAACTCAAGCTCTTCAGCCCGACTGAGTAATTGTGAGACTGTATAATTTTTTTTTATTATTTTTTTTAATTTTTAGCTGTTGCATCAGGTACAGGAGAAAAACAAACAAACTGTGTTCATTGATTTTAATGCGATTTGTGTAAATGGCTCAGAGCAATGACGTCGGGTTGCTTCCTAGGCCCGGCCGAGTGTGGCTTAAGTACAGAAAACACTGTCTTAACAGAAAGTGAACAGATACAGGGGCTGCCGCCAAATCCCCTACACAGATGCACTTTAAAAAGCCACTCGTGCTTTGGCTTAAACTGTAATTAATTTATTTTATGTACAATAAATCTCATTTTGAAAGAGCAGACATCTGGCCTGGTCTCCATTGAAATGTTCACCTTCTGTCCTTCAGACAAAGAAAGGGTCCCTCAGTGCCTTCCTAGCGTTATCTCTTCAGTCTCACAGCAAACCGATAAGGTGCATCCTCGTCACCCCCTTTTACAGATGAGGAGACAGGCTCACGGGCCAGCTAACGAGCGCTGTAGCTGTAATGTGGTGCTTTCTAGTCAAGAGGAGTGTGTCTCCTATTCATTCCCTTCATGACCCTCCAGCTAAAGCGAAGACGAGTGTCCCGCTCTGTCTTATGCCGTTAAGATGTCTCAGCGAAGCCTCGAAGGTCACGCGCCTCTGTACAAGATGATGCTCCTCTATACATGTGATTTATCTGGCAAACTTCTTGGGGTATGCGGCTTTCAAGAGGTGTGCTTTCTTCTCGTAGAAGCTCCCAGCTGTTGGTCTGGGGCTGGTCAGGAGCCCTTCCTGTGTCTCTGCTGCCACAAATGATGTGCTGAAACTGCCAGGTTTCTCTTCCTTCTGGGACTGGGAGACCTTTCATGCAGGGGCCATGCTGAGTTACCGTCTGTAAGGGCAAATAATGACACCTCTGAGGAAGGCTTTCACATGCGTGATCTCATTTAATCCTTATGGTACCTCAGACGGGAGGAAGTACTACCATTTACAGGTGAGGAAGACAGGCTCTGAGTTTTGACTCATGTCCTCAAGTTTGCACACAGGACAGGAATCAATGCTTTCTGAACGTATGCAGTGTTCTTATTAGAATACATCATATACAGGGTACCGCTTGGCCATGGGACCCAGGGAGGCAGTCAAAACGGCCGGCCATTGAGGGCCTACTCTATTATGGTGCCAGACTTCCAAATCTGTTTTCCCACACGGTAAATATCCTGCCTGCTCTTGACAGGCTTTCCGGTGACGTCCCAAACCTTCCTTATATGGAGGCCAGTTTTCCACACTTTAGAACCTATAACCCAACCCAACCTCTGAGAAGGCGATGTGTGTTGGGGGCAGGGAGAGAAATGGTATTCACGTGCGATTCTGAAAACATCTCAGTTCAAAGGCACGGACAATCACCTCCAATGACTTTCTGCTCGCCTTTAGTTTTATTGATTTCACGTGGTTGTAGTCACAATGTCCAGTGAATAAGAGGTTAACCTTTATGTACTTAGCAGTGGCCTTCTACCATGTTCTGGAGTTAAAGAAGACACGGTTTTCCTGGCAGCTTTGTCTTGGAAAGGTGCTGAGCAGTGCTGTACCTCCATTAATCACTGGCACACTGTTTCCTCCCCCACCCCCTTCTGTCTGTTCTCCAAGGCTGCAGACCTCTGGGCCGTTCCCTCCCTTGTGAGCTTCACGTCCTGACCAACTAGCTCTCACTTTCCCACTGTGCCGGACTCACTCTCTCTTACTTTACCTCAGAAGTTAGGGTGGGAAGGGGGTCTCAAAGCTGTCCTCTCTCCAGGGGAATGAAGTGTTTGTGAGAGAGACCTTGCTGGAAAACCTCCCAGGTCCGAGTTCTGGGCAGTGTCTCAGGCTAACTTAAATATTTATAGTTCTGGAACACACCATATTTTCTTCTCACGAATTCAGCTTCATGTTTCATTACCTTTGCTCATCTCTTTCATTATTAGTACTTCTTAATCCCTGTGTGTTTGTTTAAAAATTTCTGAACTGCAGCCATATGGCACTGAGAAAGGGCCGTCTCCCACCTAGGATGGGGACCACCTCCTTGGCCACCAGGGGAAGGAATGGGAGGGATGGGAGGGTGAAGGAGGAAGGAAAGGAATTAAAATTGATTGAGCACTTATAATGTGCCAGGTTATAAATGATCTCCTATCATCTTCTGAAGGACCCTATGAGGAAGGTAATACTAGCACTCCCATTTTAAAGATGAGGAAACTGAGGCTCGGGGTACATCACCTGCTCAGGGCCACACAAGTAGTAACAATGAATGCTTCTGTTTATTGAAACCTGTGTCAGGCTGTAGGAGATATCTGAAATAATAATGTTCCCCACACCAACCCCATAGACAGTTTTTGTCCCTTCTGCAGACAGGGAGAGGGGAAGCTCCAAAGTCCAGCTCCTAAGTAGCCGGTCCGGGGCTCCCCCACACCCCTCGCCTGTCTGGAGCCACAGCCTAGTCCCTGGGCCACCAGCCACAGCTTCCCCGCTTCCCTCCTCCAAGCAAAGTGTCCCTGGGCACTCTCTTCTTTGTCTGGCAGACCCTGGTCCCCCCTGCCCTGGCCCACTTTCCTCCATCCCCCTGTGGCGGCCTTGGGTTTGTGGCTCCGCCCCAGCCCCCGGCCCCCCTGACGGGCCACATCTGCTGTTGCCATCAGCCTCGCTCCCTGGCCCCCAGTCCCAGCTCGGTAATAAAGACGCGGGCAGGGGCGGGGGCCGGCACAGCCCACAGCCTCACCACCGGATCCGTGTCTGTCTTGCTGTCTGGCTTTCCCGTTTCCTCCCCGCCACAAATCAAAACCATTCGGAGGGCTGTGCGGCCCACCCGCTGCACAGTGTGTCGGGGCGGGAGAACCTTCCAGCCCGCCCGGGCTCCGGGCTCCGGCCAGCCCCTGCCTGCTTGGAAGGGGGTGGGGGGGTGCGCGTGCCCACAGGGTGCCCGTCGTTCTGGAGACCCAGAGTACTCTGACATCACACCGGAGAGGGAGAAGACAAATGCGTTTTCTGAACAAGCTTGTGGGCAAATCCCTCAGAGAGGAGCAGTTGGGTCACTCCTGGTCCTGCCTCTGCAGGGGTGGGGTGTGGGGATTGCCCGGCAGAGTCTCTGCCGGTAAGTTAACACAGGCCCTCAGGGGATGGCCAAGACGGAATTATAGGGCTTTACTTATTAGAAGAAATACACTAGGAAAACTAATGTTTTCTGCACTCCCTTTACAGTCTAAAGAGAGAAGTTTCCAGAAAGTTCTTGCTGTCCTCCTTACTTTGCTAATTCGGTGTGAAGAGAACAGGATGAGGGTTATTACTGATTGTGGCAAGATCCCAGCTACCCCCTCTCCCTTCTCAAATACCCTCCATCATCTGGTTTTGTCTTTTACAAATTCCGTTTAAGAGAGAGTTGGAGGTTTCTTGTTTTCTTTTTTTTTATGTTTTTTGAGGAGGGATGGCAGACAACTTGTATAACACTGGATTACTTGTTATTGAAATCTTGGTTCTGCTAACCAAGGTAAAATAAATAACAGTGATCTTGAGGGGAGCGATGGGATTCTTTGTTATTGGGATAACTCTGTAATGGAAGCGGCCCTGGTGTAAACAGAGCCATTTCCATAGCCCTGGCCCTCTGGGGACAACCTCTGGCTGACACCCTCCTCAGCACTTCCAAACACTCTGCTGTGCCCGCAGTGTTTGCCGGGAAGTGGACTCCAGAAGGGAGGTTTACAAAGGCAGAAGTCAATTGCTACACGGTTATTTACACCTCTATCAATTGTGTTTATAAAGAGTGGCCTCTGAGGTCCTTGGCGGAAGGTCTGCATCTGTGCGTGCTTGTTTTGGCTCCGCTGGCCAGAGTGCAGGCGGCGAGCACTCAGCCCCGGGCCGGAGAGAGGAGACACCAGCACTGCCACTCAGCTCAGCCCGTTAGGGCACCTTCAGAGCCTTTAGAATTGGTACATTTAGAATTGGCACATTTGCGCGGGGTCGAATGGGACGTCGGCCTTAGGAGGTCAAGTTCAGAATCCACACAAACTTCATGGCTAACATTGGTGATGGAGAAATTTCTATTAGAGACAACATGAGGCCCTGAATGGGCAATCGGTAGACATTTGCCTCCAATAATGGTGATTCTCATAGGCTCTTGGCCAGCTTGCCGTGTGCCATGTTCTAAGTGCTTTACATGGACTTGTCATTTTCATTCTCACACCGACCCGCTGAGGTTGGCCTTATGATCATAAGATTTCAGTCTGCTGAGGCCAGAAGAAGTGAACTGCAGTGTGGAAGAGATGGGATTGGAATCCAAGCCACAGGCCCCTGGCCTCTGGGTGATACTGTCTTAAAGTTCGAGGTGTTCTTCCTCCTCTATTTTCTCATCTTCCCTGGCCCCCAGCAATGTCTCTTAATTTTCTGTCTTCGTTTGACATTATTCTCCTGTTGAGACTTTGGAGACTTCTTTGGTGTCCCCGCTAGTAAAAGCCCAGTCCTTGGTGTCATGTGCGAGCTGCCATGTAGGGCTGGCTTCCGTCTACAGCAGCCTCTCCCATGAGGTGGGCACCTTGCATTGGTACGTGCAATTTCCACACAGAGGCCCTCAGGCTCTGAGAGGTCCACACCACTGTTTGTGGCACAGGGAGAACGAAGCCAGGGAAGACTGTGGAGCACTGTCCACCGACCTTCGTAGGAGGTCAAGGGCACGGTCCCTTTGTCACTTGTTCTCTCCCACTCCTGGGCAGCGAGCACAAGAAGGCGGCAACACCAAAGGGCTTTTAGGAGGTTCTAACAAGGGGCCAACGTGCCATTTCCTGAGTTCCTTCTTTTTCCTTATCTGATGAAGGCCCTTTGCAGGATTTATACCAAGTCTCCATTATGCTCCTGCTTTTAATTCAAGGGACAGGGTTCTGTCCTGTGTCTCCCACCTTCTTATTCAAACCAAACTCTGGCCACCATGAACTTCCTCTTTTCTGCAAAGGCTTCCACTGCCTAATTGCCTCTTTTAGCTCAATTCCTCCAACCAGTGACCGCAGAGATGGAAAAAGAAGGTGATAAACCTAACTTGTGACATCTCCCCCCGCCACACAGAGACTGCCTTTGATCATATTTAATACAGTATTGAGAGCATTTGGGGGCCATGGTAATTGCTAAAGGACAACGTGTACAATTAGGAACTTCCTTCTTTCGTTAATTCCATATTAGAAGCTTTGGAGCATTGTTTTTTAGAGAAAAAAATTAACTTGAACGAACACATTAAAGCCACAAAAGCAATACACATCTACATGTTTGCTGTGAAGAAAATTCAAACCACACAGAAGTATGTCAAGAGTGAGACTCGCCCTTTTCCGAGGCCTCCCACCTATACTCCTTCCTGGATGTAACTACTTGTTAGCAGCTTGGTTTCTGTATTTCCAGAAAGTTTCCTTTCCATCGGGACATATGGTTTAACACTTAACCTTGAGCAGATACTCACAAAGCGCTGGGACACCAGGAGAAGCCCCAGCGGCTCATTCCGTGAGAGCCACAAAGTCAGGGGCGCGTCTGGCTCATTCACGAACATGGCCGCAACCTAGCGGAGTGCCTGGGACCTGCCACTCAATATTTGGAAATGAATGAATGGCTGAATAAGTGAATGGATATACACTGAGACACAGAACAGATTACACATTTTTTTTCTTATTTTGGAAAATAGTGATCTCTGCTTTGATGATCACTTCTTTCGGGCTTGCCAATTCAAATTCAGACTTCTAGATTAGGGGAATGAAAGAAGCATCTGGAGTCACTGTATTTTAGCACCATGAGAGAACCCGTGTTAGGGGGAAAACATACTTGGACCACAAAAAAAAAAAAAAAAAAAAAAAAAAGAAAAAAGAAAGAACATTGGTGTCTATAAAACCTGCTTTGATGGTGTCTCAGAATGATTTCCAACTTCACAGTTTTTTTCTACAATAACATTANGGGCTTGCCAATTCAAATTCAGACTTCTAGATTAGGGGAATGAAAGAAGCATCTGGAGTCACTGTATTTTAGCACCATGAGAGAACCCGTGTTAGAAAAAAAAAAAAAAAAAAACCACAAAAAAAAAAAAAAAAAAAAAGAAAGAAAAAAGAAAGAACATTGGTGTCTATAAAACCTGCTTTGATGGTGTCTCAGAATGATTTCCAACTTCACAGTTTTTTTCTACAATAACATTATTATTAAAATTTTTTTAAACTGTTTATATTTGAGAGAGAGACAGAGCACAAATGGGGCAGGAGCAGAGAGAAAGGAGACAAAGAATCTAAAGCAGGCTCAAGGCTCTGAGCTGGCAGCACAGAGCCCATAGCAGGGCTCGAACTCATGAACTGTGAGATCATGACCTGAGCCGAAGTCGGACGCCTAACTGACTGAGCCACCCAGGTGCCCCTAAAATAACATTAGTTTGCAGAGAACTAAAATTAGAGACATGCGAGTGTTTTGATCTACATTTGACTCCCCCTACCTGTTTCACCCACTCTCGAACTGTTTGTCAGCTTTCTTTATTACAAGCATCTTTTAGAGACGCCAGAAAGGTCCACAAACCATACCCCTATAGATGTGTGGATGACGCAGTTACTTTTCGCCAGAGTTCTTAAATAATTTCCCTAGTTGGGTCTAGGTTTTTCTGCTATGACCAGAAGGAAAAGTTGGGCAAACAGAAAAGAGAGCTTTCTATTTCAATAGAAACACTACCTCATATGAGTCCCAGGGAGCGGGGCTCCCATCTAGACTGTGTTGGACCAGGTATCTTTATGGGGCTTTCCTTTGGGAGAGGAGGACACCTTTTAGAGGCAGGGACAGGCCTCCAATCGACCTCTCTCCACCTCTGTTGCGAGCGGACTGGTGGGCCGGCCTGGTGAGCACACCGGGAGGGTGCCGGGCTTTGTCTGGTCCTAGCTGCCACCCACTCTCCCTTCCTTGCCTTTTTGGCAAGGTCTCAGATCCCATTTGCAATGGCCCCTCCCCAGTTACGTAATCTGAAGGAAAACCAAAGTATCTTCACACGCGTGATGTAAAGCACGTCAAATTTCTTGAGCAACTGCAGATCAAATGGCTTGTAATCTACCAACGATCGCCAACAGGCGTTTATTTAGAATCAGTGAGCTTGCGGTTGGAAACTGGAAGATCACAAGTAGAGGGTTAAGGAGAAAAGGGGATTATGTCAAACGAGGCCAGCTGAAAGACAGTTTGACACCTTTAGAAAAATGAAAATAATTAACAAAAAAATCGTTGGGAATCCATGCAAAGTACTCTGCTGCGTGGTTACCAGGACCCTCCGGGCAGAATTCCGTCATACCCACGATTAGTAAGAGGACTTTGGTTCCGGCGGCGTATCTTGAATGGTGACGGGAAGTAGTGTTGGTATTTCCAGCTCGGGTAGGTCTCATCCTCACAGATGCTCAGAAGCCAAGGTCTGGATGCAGCCGGTCAGTTGCGAACAAGAGCTCAGGAATGTTAAGTGGCTTCAGGAGTCGCGTGGACAGCACGATAACCTATCGGCAGGAGAGGACACACACACAGGGACAGTTAGGGAGACCCATCCCAGGTTACTGGATGACAAGACATAAAAGGCAATGTGTTTCTATGGGGAAAGTCACGGGGGTGGGGGGGGGGACCGTGGGGATAAGGCAGAAGGTGGCAGCTGGAATGCCAGTGGATGCTAGAGTCCTGGGTAGAAGGAAGGCAGGGCTGTGTTTGCTGAACCTTTGACCACTTGTCACTGAGATTAGCTGTGCCCAGCCACCACCTTACTGCTGAATGGAATCCAATCAAATACTGCAGCTTTGTGATCCTCTAATTTGACCTCAATATAGAGGTTTCTCTTCTCCAGGAAGCCTTTGCTCCTTCAGGGAGCCCGAGAAGGCACACCCAAGAGGTGGATGTGCTTGTGGGTGGTGATGATGATGCCTGTGTTAATTTCCTAGTACCCAAAACTGGGTGGTTTAAACAACCAAAATTTATGATCTCATAGTTCTGAATGCCAGAAGTCCAAGCTCAAGGGGTTGGCAAGGCTAGTTCCTCCCATGGGCTATGAGCGAACATCAGTTCCATACGCTCCCCTCTAAGCCTCCCGTGTCTTCACTCCATCCTCTATCTATGCATGTCTGCCTCTCCGTCCAAGTTTCTGCTTTTTATAAAGACACAGTCATATTGAAGTAGAGCTCACCCTCATGACCTCTCGTAATCCGATCACCTGCAAAGACCTATTTCCAATAAGGTCACACTCACAGTGTTCAGATTTCAAGATCTTTTGGGAGGGGGACACAACTCAACCCACAACAATGATGGAATAATGATGCCATTAGCTAATATTTATTGGTGCTTATGACATGCCAGGCACTGAGGATGATCTCATTTAACATCCATTTCATCTTTGTTACAATCTTATGAAATAGAAATAGTATTCCTATTTTGTAGACAAGGAAAAGAAATTACAGAAAGGTTAAATCACTTGTCCAAGGACAGACAGGAGATAGCGGAGTTAGGATTACAACCCAGGCAGGCTGACTCCAGTGCCCAAGTGCCCATCTGGTCACTTTGGTAGTGTCAAGGGGTCTGGGCAAGGCCACTTTACTCCCCTTGCCTGTGGGGACCTCTGGGCCTCTCTGGCCTGTCGCTGTGGTGACCCTTCCTGCTTCCTTCATTCTGGACCTTTCCTCTGGGGCAGATTTCTCTCTGTAGTACTTGCTCCCCAGGGCCGGGCTGGGTCTGTGATGCGCTGTGTAAGGGCCGGTGAGGTTTTGCGCAGGCGGCTGGGTGGGAGGTGACTATGGGAAATGGAGAGGGAGGTACTGGAGCCGGAATCCCGCCGCCCAGCTCTGAGCCAAGGGGACTGCCAGGCTGGTGGCACGACCGGGCTTCACCCAGCTACCTGCCACCGGTTATGGACAGGCTGGCACCACACGCTTCACTCGCTTCCCCTCCTGCTCCCCAAAACCGTTCCAGGCGCACCCAAACCAATGACTTAACCAATGCCCAGCTCACTGCTCAAAAACAGAGTCCGTACCCCATTGCGGAAGAGAGGCAGATGAGGCCCAAGTTAAAGGAAGAAGGAGAGAAGAAAGCACTTTCTACTTTTCTTCGTCTTGTTAAAGAAGTGTGGATTATTAAAAAGTTTTCTGTTTAAAACAAAAATTAGCCTTTGAAAGCAGCTCTTTTACTTTTTCTTGAGAGAGAATGAGCTGACACAATATATGGTTAACGTCAGCCAAGTTATGTCTGTGGCAGAAAGAAAGACCCTGAAGTCTGAGCTCACATTTGTCCTGGAAGCCATGTGACGACAGTTTGAGAGCAGCAAGTGACTATTAGCATCCCCTCTCATCTGCACACACACGGTACAGACACCATTTGAATGTGTGGCTCTGGTGAGGCTCTTACTGACTCCCCAGGGTTCTCTACGCCCAGCCGTTAGGGTGGCTAAGAATGGTGGCTCCCAGGCCCGCACACTCCCCAGAGCCCGGTAGAGGCCCCTCCACTGCTGCTTGGCCATGTGCCCTGGGGAAAGTCACTTCACTTGGAGCCTCATGCTTTGTGTCCCAGATGGAAAACAACAGCCCTGGGGCACCAGGGTGGCTCAGTCAGTTAAGCGTCCGACTTCGACTCAGGTCATGATCTCACAGTTCGCGGGTTCGAGCCCCGTGTCGGGCTCTATGCTGACAGCTCAGAGCCTGGGGCCTGTCTTTGGATTCTGTGTCTCCCTCTCTCTCTCTCTGACCCTCCCCTGCTCACGCTGTCTCTCTCTCTCTCTCTCAAAAATAAATTAAGAAGAAAAAAAAAAGGAAAACAACAGCCCTGAGCGGGCAGCATCATGGCAAGGTTTACATAAGGTCAAGTGCGTAGGACACAGGAGGTGCTCAGCAACTGTGAGCTGCACCTTTATTGTGGTTTTGTGACTGGGTCATAGATCTCCTTCTGAATGTTATAAAAGCTAAGAACTCTCTAGAAAAATGCGTGTCTGTTCACACACACAAGATTCTGAATATAGTTGCAGATGGGGCTTGTGTACAACTAGGATTCACAGACCACAAGGTAAGAAACCCTTCTTCAGATATTTTCAAGAATGTGTGCACAGAGACAAAGCGAATGTGCCCAAGGCCCGTCTCCTGCCCTCATGGCTTGCCGGTGACCCCCACCACTGCAGGTCCCCATGCTCCTTCCAGAGGCTAAATGGCGGAGCCTCTCCGGCTGAGGCGCAGGCAAGGACAAGGGCTCGCAGGAGTCTCCCAGGATGCGTAAGTCTTGCCGGCAAGCCTGAGGAACTTGGAGAGAAAAGGCAACAGACTCCATTGATGTTGACACTTGTAGAGCAATGAGAACCTAGCCGAAAGAATCCATCCCTCAGATCGTGTGCTGGGCTTGTAGCCACGGCTGACGGAGACAGGGGGATCCATCACATCCAGTGAGCTGGAACCGAAGACCAGGCCTCTGACATCTAAAAAGGCAAGTATTTAGAAGGGCTGAATCAGAGGGTGTCTGAGACATGCTTTGCGGAGGGCTGAAAAGAAACAGATGGAAAGCCAAGGCTGTGTGTGAAGTGAGCTAGGGGGTCTCTGAGGAGGGGAGAAAGCTGAGACCGAGGACTCTCGCCAGATGGTACAGTGGTTAAGAGCACAGGCTTAGGAGTGGCTAATCTGACTTGGACCCTCGCTGGGCCCCTTGCTGGAGGAATGACTCGGGAGAAGTTGCTTCATCACTCTGAGCATCAATGTCCTCATCTATAAAGTGGGAATGATATCCCTCGGCATGTTTATTTACGAGGATCGCATGTGAACATATATATCAACTATTTAGCACAGTTGACAGGTTCTAGAAGGGCTTAAAATGGTACCTGCTATTATTGTTTTCTTTATCATCACCATCCTGACTATTTTCATCCTCGGCCCGCACTCCCTCTATCCAAGTGTAAATCTGACCATATCACTCATTGGCTTAAAATCCTGACTGCCTCCTCCCTGTCCTCTGATAAACCCCACCCTCCTAGAGAGCATCCCAGGACTGGAGAATCCGATGGCTGCTTGGCCCTCCAGATGGCACCCCCTCACTGCCACATCCCCTCGCTGCCACACCCCCTACGTTGTACGTTGTGGCCACCCTACACTATTGCAATTTCACAGGTGGAACTTTGAGGATGCTTCCTTACCCTACTCTTTGCCTGAGGTCCTCTCAGTCCTCCAACAATCTACTCATGCATCACCACCTCCAGGAAGCCTTCCAAGACCACCCCTCCCCAAAGATGGCGTGCGTTCCCACGGCTGCTGGTTTCACACTATATTCCTTGTTGCCGTAACTGAGTCTTCCCGCTGTTTTTTAACACGGTGCCTGAAGTGTAGCAGGTCCTGGATATAGTGAGTTAGTGAATGATTGCATGAATGAACAAAGACGGTTAGACAAGGAAGGAGGCAGTGAGTTTAGCGATGGTCAGCAGGAAGCTTTTCACACTGGGAGGCTCTAGTAAAAGATAGCTCAAATAGCTCTGGGAAAATTGTTTCAAATCACTCCAACTATTTGTCTAGAGCTCCTACTGGGAAGCCGAGCAGGATTGCATGGCTAACACTTCATTTACCCTGTGATAGCTGATAGCCCTGGCGCATTTTCACATCTTAGGCATCTTTTGGTCTTAAGACTCATCAGAGCATTTTTAGAGGTTTCAGCCCACTCAACTAAGGAGTTTCTGTATTATTTGATTAACATAGTTCTAAAAACTATAAAGAATTAGCCAAATTGGGACAAAAAGGCAGTCAAAAATGAGAAAGAAAATGCTTACAAGAGCCTGAAATCAGCCTGTTAGGTATAAAATTAAATTTCATAAACTGCCACCAAAGGTGTGATGCTTGGCAGATTAAACGGGAGAGAATTCCTTTAAGAGAACTAGGTTTTTGCCAGGCAGCCAAGCGCACTGATGAGGACTTCCGTCCATGAGACAGGGGTGGAGGAGCCCAGTGCTCTCCAGAGCCTCTGAGCAAGCACGAAAGCCGCCTGCGCTCCAGCGGGAAGAGGAGGATTCAGTCTCTGTTCTCGGACGGCCCCGGGCTCCCACAGAAGGAGGCCAGGCTCCGACACTGACCCTGCCCTCTGGCGTTCTTTCCGTTTTCCATTCCTGCCGGCCTCCACTGTAATTTGTAGATGCCAGCCTCTTTCTGTTCTATTTCTGCTTACACGGCGGAAGCGGGCAGCCCAGGGTTTAGATTCCACATCCATCTGATTTCTAACATTGTGCACTGAAAGAAGCAGGGTAGGACAGTGGTTTTTCTCCTTTTTTCTTTTAAAGGTGGGAGATTCTGGGGTGCCTGGGTGGCTCAGTAGGTTAAGCATCTGACTTCAGCTCTGGTCATGATCTCACAGTTCATGGGTTCAAGCCCCACATCGGGCTCTGTGCTGACCACTGAGAGCCTGGAGCCTGCTTCAGATTCTGTGTTTCCCCCTCTCTCTGCCCCTCCCTGCTCACACTCTCTCTCTCAAAAATAAACATTAAAACATTTTTTTTAAAAAAAGATAAATTTAAAATCCCATGAATGTTTTCCTCAGAGTAAGAAGCTTTAGAATAAAATAAACCTAAACTGAAAAGAGAAAAAACAGAAGGAGGTCGCTAGACTCCTCCTTGGGGCTTTCAATCAGTTTCAGAATCACCTGGAGCCAGGTTTTAGAGACAAGACTCAGGTGTCCTAAATCCCTGAAGTTATGCAAAACCGTGGATGTACGAGCATATTTCTCCATCTCCTTTTTTTCCTATTACATTCTCACTAGATGGTCAGCTCCAGAAACAGAGAACTGCTAGAAAGTGTGGGAGGGCAACGTGCACCTGCCTATGACGAGCAGTGGATGGCGGGGCCAGCTTGCCCGCACGGCCTCCCTCTGTCTCCTGAGCTGGCCCGTCCCTGTGTTTTCCGGGAGGGTCCCTCCCTGTTATTTTCCTCCCACAATCTCAGGCTTCTACAGGCCTCTTGGCCCCCATCCAGCCACAGAGTTTAGCCTGCAGAGCCGTCTGGGCACAGGGCCCCACACCAGGCGGCGAGTGAGACAGAGGCCGGTGCCAGGCGCATGCACTCCAGAGCCAGGGGACGCTTCCCAAGCTTCCTACCTCATGGTGGCGGCTGTTTGGGGTGGGGTGGGGCGGGGGGAGTTTACTCTTCGATCCCCTTTTTTTCTGTAGTTGGGACCCAGGGCCTTCTGCAGCCGCCCACTTTGCCTCACGGGCACGTTGTCCAACAACCGGGGGCAGAGAGTGGAGGTGCAGAATATGACGACAGTCCCACGAGACGAGCAGGTGCAGGTGTGGTCTCTGGACTCCTTGTTTCACGCCACCCTTGTCACTTCCTGTGGAAGAGAATTCGTTTCTGGATGCACCTTCAATGGGTTCTGTTTCCTTTGAAGAGCTGGTCGCTGAATGCCTTTCAAACTCAGCCCCCGGGGCTTCTCCTCCAGGAGGGGCTGTGCCATCTGAAGGCACCCCGAGCCCCTACTTATGGCCACCACGGCACCTGTCTGTCTTCTTAGTACACTCACCTCTGGCTGGAGTTGTCGTGTTTAACATCAGTCATTCGTTCTTAGCACGGAAGCTCCACGGAAGCAGGCACAAGTCTGGCTTGCTCCCTGCTCTATTTTTAGCACAAGAACAGGGCTTGGTACACAGCAGATATTCAACAAATGCTTGCAGAATAATCAACTAATCCCACTTAGTAGATGTGATTGTAGATTCCTGTATTTGGGTCCAAAAAGCACCCAGGTAGATCCAGAGAAGATAAGAGATTCGTGGCAATTGGTACCAAAGTCAGACTGGCCTTAGTTGTCCATAATCTCAGAATGAATTGACAGGCTGGCGAATTCTCCAGAAGAGCTACTTCTATCTTATACTACAATACTACAAGTGAAGTTTCTAGTGTTCAGTAGTTCACATTGAATCGTGACACTCAGCCATCCTCACCCTGTTTGGGGTGCTGGGAATAAAATAGTAAAAAAGCCCAGGTCCTGACGCTGGACGGGAGCAAGCAGGCAGAAGAGTGGTAGGAAAAGACCCCAAGGGAGGCAGTCGACTCTTGTGAGACAGCCGAGGCCTGTGTAGCCAGTGTGCCCAAGGCCCTTCTCCCGCCCTCGTGGCTCACCGGTTCCCCCACCCCCACCCCCACCCCCACCACTGTTGGCGCCGTGCTCCTTCCAGAGCCCAAATGGCGGAGCCTCTCCGGCTGAGGCGCAGGCAAGGACAAGGGCTCGCTGGGGTCTCCCGGGACGCGTAAGTCTTGCCGGCAAGCCTGAGGAACTTGGAGAGAAAAGGCCACCGACTCCACTGATGTCGACACTTGTAGAGCAGTGAGCACCGAGCTGAAAGCATCCATCTCTCACACTGTGTGCTGGGCCTGGGGGACGAGGAGGAGGGGGCCCCACCCGCCTCTGCACGGGCCAGTCCCCACGGAGGCATGGCTCTCCGTTCCAACCGAGTGTGAGAGGCAGAGGAAGAGTGGGGCTGAGGAGAGCCGCCAGCACCGTCAGGGCACTCCCAGGTGCCCGTCACGGGACCGAAAAGCCTCGGTTTGGAGAAGAGCAGAGCCAGGGGAGAAGGTGTGGGAGAGGGACGAGCCTGATTTGCCTGTCAATTCTGTGGGGCCGGGAGCCAGAACCAGCTAGAAGCAGCGCTAATGGGGGCGGCTCTAGGAGGCTGATTTGGCTGCATCTAGGGGAGACAGTTATATCAGTAAGGCCCTTCAAGACTCAGGTAGGCCGCAGGGGGAGGGGGCATCTCATCACCGGAGATGTTCAAGGGCAGGCTGGATGGCAAAGACAGAATATAAGTGTTAGATATGTACATTATCGCTGTTTATACCGACAGTCAAGTCAGGGTTAGTTTCTTGGTGGAAGGTTCGTTGGGTACCTAGATTCAGCAGAACCTACTCCTTTCCGTCAGTTCCCCTGTGTTCTCCACACGCACGGAGGTCCGAGTCAATAATGACACCAGGACGTGTGCCATTCCGTGTGCAGCTAGAGCAGCGAGGCCTGATTTCCGCCGCACTTCGAAAAGCAGAAAGCTGCTCCTGTCCCAGATCTGGGCAGAGCTGGCTGCTGAACAGGGCAGCTGTGTCTTCTGACGTCAAGAGAGGGAGGTCTGCTTCCGCGGGCGTAACTCCAGCAAACGCCCAGGTGGTCCCCCGCCTGCAGAAGCTTGGAGAAGGGCACGATGGTGCTCCTGCCTCCTCCGCCGGCCTTCCATGCTGCCTCTGGAGTCTCCCTGGGGGCCTCTTAGCTCTTCGGGGGGAACTTTTTGCACGAGGGACACATAGGAATCCAGGCTGCTCGTTAAGCCCTGAATTCTTTGAGACGCTCTTTGCAGATTTCTGAGCGTGCGGTCAGATGATAGCCAAGCCGCCGCAGATTCCAGGTCTGGGCTGTCAAACGCAGGTCACACAGCTTTAAAAACGTCTGCATTTTATCCTTTGAGAGTGCGGATTAACATGTCCGTCGGGGTGTTACAACGCAGCACTGTTCTGGAGAGCTAAGAATTCGGTTCGCCTCGTTAGGGGCAGCGAGAAGTGTGTGGCTTAAAAAAATGTCTTGCTCCAAAAGATGATTGCTCACTAAACAGATCCTTGACACTGCTGAAAGGGTGTTAAATGAAGCAGAATTTACCACATGGCCAGAAATTTCACCAGCTATGACCACGACAGGCGGTAGTAGGGGCAGAAATGGTCACAGCCAATGTGTGGTCATTTCCCTGTGCAGGAACTTACTGTAGCTGCCTAGATACTCGGGTCCGTCCCCCAGTGGGGCATCTGAAGACCATCAGGGCCCTTCTCTACTTCACCAGGTGGCCTGGCCGCTCAGCGACACCAGACCAGCTCTGTGGCCAATTGAGCCGGAGGGCCACGGGGCTTCCAAAGCTCCTGCCACGTGCGCAGGCCTGGGAAGCCCCAGCCTTTGTCCTCAAGGAATCCATGGCTGTCCGTGGAGACTGGGCAGCGAATGGGAGGCAGTCCGGGGGCAGTCCAGTGCTACACGGCCATGGGTGCTGTGGGAGCCAAAGGCACCAGCGCCACCAGCCCCGGGCCTGGGCTGGAACCCCATTTGGTTTCTGAGCAGCTGTGGTGGACAGTCCCCTGCGTGAGCCTCCGTTCCACCCAGAGCACTGTCCCTACATCTCTTTTGCCTTCTCCAGACCATGGAGAGCTGCTCAGCTGCCTGCAGGGGTGGCACAAAGCTGAAGATTAAGCTCCCCAGAGGCGAGTTGCACATGGGGATGAGGGGGAGAATCAATGGGAAAATGTCTTATGTGGTCCCGGCTCCTCGGGTCCCCAGAGGATACAGCCTCAGCTGCCTGTGGCACAGACCAGCCCAATAATGCACTCTTCTCTGGCTTCTCGCTCCAGTCTCTCCTTACGGATTCCCTCCCTTCTGCTTCTTGGGATCATCTCCCATGTAAACTACCTGTTCTCACGTCCCTGTCCCATGGCCTGCTTTGGGGAGCCCACTAAAGCAAGGACTTGAAGTCTTACTGAGTTACAGGCTCAGCCTCCCTGGACAGATCAGAACTTCCAGAAAGAGGGGCTCTCCCTCTCCGGAAGCCCGTTCCGTTTGGCTCTGGCCCTCAGGTCAGCAGCTAGCATCCCTCCCACACAGCAGGGTGGAGGCTGCTCGAGACGGTTGCTAACAACAGTAGTCACCATTTATTGAGCGCTAAGGGTCAGGCACTGTGCTAGGAAGGACACTCTCTCCCCTTATCTGATCTACGATTCACAGCCACCCTCACCCTGTTCCATCAATGAGAAAACTGAAGGCTTAGCTCTCCCAGAGCAGCTGGCTAGTGAATGACAGAGGCAGGACTCAAAGACAGTCCTATAAAATCAAGAGGTTGGTGTTCTTAACCACGGGGCCACATACAAGGGGGAATGAGAGGGACCTGGCAAGAGGCGACAGAGGAGAAAGATAGAACATTTGTCACTGTCTTGACAACATGCCTCTAACTGCCACAGTGGGAAGATGGTCGCTGGGATTGCCCTCGTTATCTGGAGCCTGGAAAGCAGTGAAAACTCGAGTAGTTAAGAGTTTATATACCCCTCGGGCCACACGAGAATACAGGCCCCTCAGGAATCAGGATGGGGCATGAGCACCGTAGCCCAGAGGCAGAAGAGGGGACGGTAATGGGCAGCTCTCCTTCCTCCACCCCCATCAGGAAGACAGCTGTCCTTGGAGCAGAGGGAGGGGTGGGTGGGAGAAGGAAGGCAGGATGGAGATGGGGAGAGGCGCCAGGGAGCCGAATAAAAGGCCCTCGCCCACCCTCTCGCTTCTGCCTCAGGACTCGTTCACAGAGGTCTCAGTACCTGGGTTCCTGGCTTCAAGGACGGCACGAGGTCTTTGATCATTTTGGCTTCTGAGACAGTGACCCCGCCCACCACGAAGAGGATCAGGAGAGGGTGGTCGCTGGGATGAGGCCGGCTCACCTGCAAAAGAAACCCCCCCAGGCATCAGTGGCAGAGCGCTGAGCAGCTGGGTGCCCTCTCCCTTGTCCCTCTGAGGGGACCCCAGGGCTGCCGCCCACTAGTGCAGGTGACGTAAACAACCCTTAGAGAGAGGGTGATTCGTGAGGGATCAGGTGTGTTAGCAGGCTGGGAACCCACCGACCAGAAAACTGCAGACCATGTCACCGTGTTATACCCCTTTGAACACTTTACTGAAAGAAAAGTTAAGTCGTGGGGCCGTTAAATAGGAAGAGAAGGCTGAGGGGCAACTTATTTACTCCCTCCTCGGCTGCTCTCAGGTGTCGGCATACACACGCCTCTCGGTCGTCACAGAGCTCTGTGTATTTCCTTCGAAGAGCTTGCCACAGCCTGTGGTTATTGGATTTGTTTGTGTGTTTGTTTCCTTATTGGCTGTTTCCTCTTCTAGAAGCGGGGATCTGGTTCACCGCTGAATTCTCAGCTTACCTAGTCTGGCACATAGTAGGTGCTTAGTATGTACCTGTGGAATGGAGGGATGGTCAGAGCCTTGGGGGCTGGTGATGGAGAGGGTAATAAGGGGCATGAGCCCAGCGCCCGCCCTGGGAGCTTACAGTCTAGCAAGCCAACCTTAGCCGAGAACCTACTGTGCATGCAATGGCCCCCTAGATGTCATGGAGAATTCTCCTGAGGCCTTATGATTACACCAATAAGGCAAAGTCTTATAAACCAAAATTAGGATGACCTGCAGAATCCCCCAGGAAAGGCAAAATGACCGACACACAGACTTAGGGACTCATGGAAGGGCCCAACAGGGAGACACTTCCTGAGGACACTATGTTTTGAGCCCTTCCTGGAAGCCAGAGCAGGTCTGAGGAGGAGGGGGCAGGAGAACTGGTGTGACCCAAGTTCCAGTCGCAAATGGTCATCGGCCGGGGGTGGGGGGCAGGCTGGGGACCCAGCCAGGACAGCACCGTCTTGGCATCACTGCAGGCGTCCGCATGGTGTCTGACGGCGCCACTGCAGGAGGCATGCTGCCAACTGCCCTCACGGCCACCTCAGCCAGAGGTGGGAGAGACAGGCTGTGGCTCCGTGAAGGGAGGGTGGAGAAAGGCCGGCGGTGTATCCACTCATCCATGCTAACTCCCAGTCCATCTTCCAGCCACGCACACGGTTCCCGGACCACAGGGCGGGCAGCAGACCTGGAGGAGGCCCGTCTTCCTGCCCCCGCTCCGGCCCCTTTCTCACCTGGGTTCCCCCGGCTCCCCTGAATATACACGCTTCTCAACATCTTATTTTAAAAACACTTAGGAAGGCAATACATTTAGTGTTTCCAGTTATATAAGCTATGCTTTGGCTTCTGGAGAGAAAACTCAGAATGGAAAGAAGGGAGGAAGAGAGGGAGGGAGAGAAGGAACGAGAAGGGATGAGGGAGGGAGAGGGAGAGAGAGAGAGGGAAGGAGTGAGGGGGAAGAACAGGGAGAGGAAGAGGGCGGGGGAGAGAGAGAGAAGTCTAATCTTTCCCTAACAGGTGGGTGGTGGTGAACACTGGGAACTCTGGTCTTTAGGGAGCCAGACTCCTCATCCCACTCTAGCTTCTTGTCCTGTAGCTTCTTCTGCATCTGCTGAGTGCTTTCTTCCAAGCCACGTAACTCAGGCCCAAGACACTCCTGCTTTGGTCGCACTCTTCGCCTGGATTTGCTCTCACTGAGGCCATCCTGGCCAGCACACGTAGGAGTCAAGGAACACTACTTTGTCTTCATCTAACAGGTCATATTTGTGGCGTCTGTCATACTTGATGACACCCTGCTTGGCTACTCCAATAGCACTCTCTGTTGGCTGCTCTTTCTACCTTTCTGATCATTTTCTTCTCAAATTTAAGGAGTCTCTTTTCTCGGTCTGCCCCTCTACATGTCCATGTAACCCAGGGCTCCATCTTGGCCCCTTGCTCTTCTCACTCAATGCAGCATCCCTGAAGGACCTCACCACTCTTCGCCTTCCACAACCTTTTATAGTCTTCCCAAATTTATGTCCTTAGCACAAACACCTCTACTGAGTTCCTGTGGACATGCCCACCTGGGTGTCTCCCGGGACCCTAAACCCAACAGGTTTCACATTTGATGCATGATCTTCACCCAAGTCTCTTGCCCATGTTGACTTAAAAAAAATTTTTTTTAACGTTCTTTTTTGAGAGAGAGAGAGACAGAGACAGAGTGTGAGTGGGGGAGACAATCTCTGTCACTCTATCAGCACAGAGCCCTATGCAGGGCTTGAACCCATGGACCATGAGATCATGACCTGAGCCAAAGTCGGGAGCTTAACCGACTGAACCACCCAGGCACCCTTGCCCATGTTGACTTTCTACCAGTATCACCATCTTCAGTCCCCTGAGCCAGACACCTGACAGTCACCTTAGACCTGACTCTCTCTCATTTCCCAGATCAAGCCTGTTAATTAGAAATTTACATGCATTAACTCAACTGGGGCATCAGGGGCCAAGCTCCAGAGGCTGAGAGTCTCTGAGGCTGAAGTTCAAGCCCCTTAACTCAGCACATAAGCTCTTTCCACGTGGCTTTGCTTCATGTCTCTGTTTCTGTCTTCTATGCACATTGTCTGCTGGAGTCATTCATAAGAATTTGAGCTGTGCCTGACTGCCCGGTATTGGGGTATTTTTTTAAAACATTTTGGTAAACATATGTCTTTTTATTGAACACTGGCCCTGAAAATTGCATTTATCGCAGTGTTTGGTTTGATTTATTTTCACAAACTAAACAGAGCCATCAAGAAATAGCAAGTCAGCACCCTGGAGCCCCACCTTGGCCCCCTGCCGTCATGACCTCACCAAGGGTAACTACCTGACTTCTAGCACTCAACATCGTACTTTGCTTTTTTTCTACAAACCCTGGAGACTGGCCACGTTAGTAGGAAAGACTGGGGGCCACAGGCACTGGTGGGGACCATACCAGCGGGTTTTGGCCTCTGCAGCACGGCACTACAGTTATTAAGTATTTTGACTATGACTGCATCATAGTGTTTTGTGTAGCATGTGTAGTTTCCTTTGTGTTAAAGTACCCTCTCCTCTTCTTTACCTCCTTCCCCCTTACTCTCTTTTAAAAGCATCCTCTCCTCTGAAAAGTTCTCTCTAATTATCTCTTGACTCCTGCTCCATGGCCCGAATCTGACACGCACCTCTGCCTTGGCCTCGTCCACCTGGACCGCAGGCTTGTTACACACCTGCCTGACTCCTCTCCTAAACTGTGAGCTGCTGGAGGGTGAGGGCTGATCATATTTATCTTGGGGTTTTGGTATTTGTGGCTTTGAGCACAGACCTTGCTCACGATAAACTTTCAACAAATGTTGCATGGATACAATAAATGGATAGAGGAATGAATGAGACCCACGGGTTAACTGGAGATGACCTTCTTAGTTCTTAGAGATCTTTTAGAAAGTCTTTCTTTGCTTCACGTGTGGCTCTTGCTGGCTGAGCAGCTAACCTGAGGCTCCTTCTTGCCCTGTAAATAGTGGTTTCTCACTTATTCCTGTAACAGAAAGACAACTGGCTCCACAACTTCAAGTGGTACAGTATGTTCCCAAAAGACATAAGCTTTCCATAAGAGAGTCTGGACTCTAAAGTACACTGGCGAGAGTCTTGGAAGGATATATTGAAAGATGAAAAGGAAACAAATAACACTCACAACAAAGAACAATGCCCTGGGGCCAAGGAGCTGAGGGAATGTTGGTTTTGGTACAAATAAAAGGGTCCAATTAATGTGCGTTGCTGTTTGCTCTTGTGGTTGCTGTTTAGATTCGTGTTTTGATACCAGACTTTCCTTCTAGAACATGTTGAGTGGGCAGGCTATGGGGAGGCAGAGTCTTTTAAACTCTTTTCCATCAGAACAACACATTCCTTTTTTGGTCCTACATGGCTGCGGCCTGTGTGTGAGTTCATGGTGCAAGGCACATGGAAGACAAAAGCTTTCCATGTTACTATTGCCATCGCAAACGCATAGATTAATAAAGCGAGTCAGTCTCACTGCTCTTTCCTTCACTTTCCAGACCTTTGCTGGCTGTGATTTTCAGGCGTGGGTTCTGGGTCAGAGAAGACAGTCTCTCTCCACCATCCATCCGTCCGTCCATCCGTCCATCCACCCATCCATCCGAGCCTTTGAGATGCAGGCTGCCAAAACCTGTGTAGCTGTGGGCCCCGAGAGAGCTCTTTGACGTCCTGATTGGTTTCAAGGAGCAGGGTTTCCTCTGCTTCCCGTTTCACTGGCACCTTCCAGGAGTTCTGGAGATCCTGCTGCTGATCTCCTCTACTCGGTTTCTCTCTGCGTGTGACCCCTTTGTCCCCAGCCCAGGCAAGGGGCAGGCCCCCCATTCTACAACAAGAGCAGAGCCTTGGAGGAGGGACAAAGTGCGACTGGACCATTGGCCTTACAAGGCACAAGGCCCCGAGAACAGCTGTGCCAACTCTGAAGATGGTTTGGCAATGGATTTGTCCCAACGGAAATTAGTAAGCACACTGCCGCCTTCATCGAACACTTGGCACTGTGCTGTTTACGCAGTTATTCATCCATTCAGCAAATATTCAGTGAGAAGCTCCTATGGGGTGGGACACGGCTCTAGGGATTCAGCAGTGGACGGACCTGAGAGGAATTCCTGCTGGTGTGTGTACTTCAGTCAGGGAGAATGACAAGGTAGATATGTAAACTGGTAAGGAAGGAAGGTGGCAAATGCCGTGAAGGAAAATAGAGCAGGGCCAGGGTGACTTTACGCAATCCTGAGAGTCTGTGAAGTAGAGGTTCCAAGTTACAGAGAGAGACAGTGAGGCTTGAAGGGGTTGAGTAAATTGTCCTAAGGCTCGCAATCAGTAAGCTGGAGGGCTGACACTGAAATCCATGTCCCTCTCGCTGCAGAGTGAGACTCCTCCACGCGCTGCCATTTACAAAGCGATTCTTTAAACTGAGAGCATGTTTACTAGCGTTCATCTCGTAAGGGCATACTTT